TCCCAGATATAACAATGCGTATAAACTAAAGTTTTGTTTGGTTTTCTTTGAAGTTATAGGAAAATATACAGTAATACATTTTCTTACCACACAAATGAACGGAAGGGTTAAAACTTTTGTCAACTTTTGATTACTTTCTAATACCTTTCACTTCCTTTCCTGGTGACATGGGATACCAGTAGAGGAAGTGAAAGCAACTCTTAAGAGCTGAATAGACGTAAAACAGAAGTTGCAAGCCTTTCTTGCTCTACCAAAAATGTTTTTTTTTGCGGTCTTGGTTGAAGAGATTTCCCCTCAGTACCTGCCCTCTAGGTATTTTTTATCTCCCATGGATATGTGTAACTGGAACAGGAAATGAGGGAATAACTCAGAGCCATCCAGAGAAGACAGAAAAAAGTGAACAAAGGTGCCAACCGTCCCCAACCAATCTAAAACTAAATCATTTTTTTCCATGGAGTTCCTTTTCAATTTGCCATTGCAACTATTGGTATTGAATTTTTGCATTATTTAAAATTTTCTTTTGTACGTGTTACATTTTGCATCTGCCCACCAGTAGCCTAAGGTCCTTGGTGCTATGCGCTCAAGGTGCATGGTTGTTTTTGCATGTTATTGTTCAAAAAGCTAACAGTGACCTATTTTGAAATATACGGAGGTCATGTCTATCTGAGGAGTACATGCTTTATTTGGGGAAGTGTTGTCATGGGTAGTAGAGTACCACTTTTAAGCTATATCAATATTTTCATTTGCTCAACTGGATGTGTGAATCATCTGTTTGTTGACAGCTGTGGAAAGAAAAACTAGCAGGAAGACTTTATCCGATCATATTAGATATGAAGCTTCATCATAGAAAATAATTGCATTAAAGTGTATGTAAAGGAATTTTTAGTTTTGGATAGAGTAGGGAATGGTTAAACCCTTAGTTTGTATCATCTTACTGGGGAGATTCACACCTCTATTTGTGTTTGTGATCACCAAGGCAAAAAGTAAGTAGACATCCTACATTTTAGAGTTCCCGTAAGAGAAAGAGGTGAGGGGAAATTTTCCAATAGGAACACATTTCCTGGTGACAACTTTCTAATATAGGAATTCATCTCACTTTGGAGAGACTTTCTCTCGCTTGCTGTTGGATTTCCAAGAAAAACAGTGAAGGGAAATCTCCCCAGGAGGACACAGAAGGCAAAAACTGGCAGAGGTTTCAAGCTATCCCTACTCTATCCAAAATTCAAAAAAAAGAGTTTTGGTTACACATATGTAAGGACCATGCCTTAAGCGGATGTCTACAGCCTTACGCAAGGCTGTAGCATGTCTGAGCTTTGCTTATATTTTCTGTACTCTAGATTTCTCAAAGCTCAAGCTGTTGAGTTGTTTTGGTATTTAGTGTAAGAGACAACAATGTATGAGTTCAGAATATTTACCTGTCTTGGACAGTCACTGAGGGTTCTTAGCCAGTGATATGAGCTCAGCTCAGCTCTTAGCAATCTGTGACGCTGTGTGGGGCTTCTCACCCAGCTCACTGACTTCAACGGTTGCCAGGAGCTGAGATGGACGCTCCTGTGTCCCTAAACCTCCCTCCAGCGTTTAATGTGCAAATAACTTAATAAAACATTCTTTTTACCCCACAATAATCCAAGATTTCACCCTAAGCAGGGCCGCCCCTAAGGTTTTTGCCACCTGAGGCAATGTCAGCCTGGGGGGTTTGCAGTTGTTGTGGTGATTTTGTTTGGGGAAGGGGGGGATGACACTGGACCTTGCTGTCAGCAGCTCTTTCCACCATCTCACCCAGCTCATTTACGTCACTGGTTGCCAGGAGCACAGAGAACATCAGCCAGAGTGTCCAGTTCAGCCCCTGGCAACCGGTGATGTCAGTGAGCTGGGTGGGCACACTTAGCAACCTGGGATGCTGTGACCACCCATGCACAACCTGGGCATCACCCAGTGGGATGCCACCTGAGGCAACAGCCCCAGACTGTGCTATTATAGGGACAGCCCTGACCCTATGATAAATGCTAGCCTGACACATCATGTAAAGGGTCATCCTGAACTACCTAGATAGGAGGAGTGCCACACATATAGTTTAATTAGAATCTGCGAAAGGGGAAGTTATGTAACTGTTACTTCCCTGTATTGCTTAGTAAAATCTGGTAAGTGTTCTTGCAACTCAGCATGTGTTTATATGTCTCAACATCATCAGCAAAGGTCATTATAAAAACCAAGATTTGGGAATAAACATCAACAACTGCACATCCAAGTAAGTAACTTAATGACTTTACAAAGACATATAAGCAAGAGCTAACTGTGTTATATTCTACATTAAGGAAATACATTTAAAGTACAACTCCACTTAATAATATTATAGAACCAGATAATTAATTAAAAAACATTTAATTTAAAGTAAAAGAGGCAGACAGTCTTGCCAATTTTTAATCTGTCATTAGTGTTCTCTGTATATGTTTCTTGTCATATATTACATATTATTTTGCTTTGTTTGATTATTTGTTTAATGTTACATATTATTTTTTCATAGAGAAATACATTTACCTAAGTTAGTTTTGTTTTTATTGCTGTTGATCTAGGTTGAAATTGATTGTCTTATCTAAAGTAGGGTATATACAAGGGCTGCAGCTAATGATTATTTACATAATTTAAACAAATTGTTGGTGCAATATAAATCCTGTATAATAATAATAATTGATTAGTTGCAAGATTATTTTTTCAACGAATCGATTGGTTGTTTAAAAAAATATCCTCTCTCTATCCCCCCAAACCAACTAATCAATGATGAGAATAGTTGCCAACTATTTTCATAATCGATTATTATCGTTTTAGTTGATTAGTTGTTGCAGCCCTAGCATATAGGGTAAGAATTTCCAACAAATGAAATAGATTTTTGGAATGTTCTTTCGACTTTCTAATCATTGATGGGGTTAAATCCACAACCAATTTTGACCGCAGTGAAAAAAAACTCGAAGGAGCATGTTGAAAAATGTTTCTTGATCGAACAAATTTCTAACAGTGAATTTGGTTTTCGTTCAGAAACTCAGTTACTTTCAAAATAGAAATTAAGGGGGTGATTTACTAACCTAAACACACGCAAGCACCAGGTGTATGTGCATTTTTACACAGCAAAACTTATTTATCAACCAAACACGAGCAACATGTCACATTTTCATGCCGTTATGGCGTTTTTTTATGTATTTACGTACGTGCACGTCCTTGTAGCATGCGCCATACACTACACGCCGCTCTAATAGCGGCATGCAAGTCTCTAAACCATATTTCCACTAATGCCATATATGGAAAAATCATGCACATGATGCATATATAATGCTGCTTCACAGTTTAGACAAAAATGGTTAGCTCATGCATTTACATTCCTGCATTCATCAACGCAAGCAACACAACGTAGAGCTAATTTACACAACATCACCTTGCAATTCATGCTTGGCTTTGCACAACACACCTGCTGGGTGTGTACACACTACAAAGGTGTCTAGATTTCACCAATAGATCATGCTGGGAGGGAACACACTACAGAGGTGTATACTTGTTCGTGGCGTGTTTATAAGGTTAGTAAATCAACCCCTAAATCTCAAATGAAAATTGGCAAGTTCCTGATGCCAGTATCAAACGTGCTGACGGGATAATTTGTAGGACCACTTGTGGAAAAATCTACCCGTGTAAACCCAACTTAAGAAATTGCCATCATATTACCACACTGTACATACAATACCTAACAAGAAACCCACATCCCTTATCATCAGATTTGTTCTTAAAATTTGCATTTTGTAACAGTATCTCTAAATCACTAAAGTTGCTCAATACTAAATTAAATAATATCACATACCATATAAAAGATCACATTTATTGGATACAAAAATAAAAGCTCTATTACAAAAAACAATGTTTTTAAAAGATTTTCCCTTTAGAAGATTTAGAAGGGTATGTCAAGCCAATTGTATAGGTTTAATATATATTTCAATTAATTAATTAATTATCCTCAAAACCATCAAATTGCCTTATTGTTTAGCTGGCCAGCAAGCATATGATTTAGCTTCCCCTTCTGTGAAAATTAGCCTCAGTATCATGTTTTTAGCACATATAACAAGTTGAACACAAGTTGATGAATTACTGTCATAAGAGACAAAACAAAGCCATCATAGATATTTGTTGAAGACATATATGCAAATCCAATTTTTCCAATTTGTTTAATTTTGGATACAATGTGGAACGGTTAGGACCTCTGCCAAGTTTTTTTTTGTGCCCCAGCTGGGGAGGCTTTGTCAACAAGATGGAGAGTGATGGGAAATTGAAAGTTTTTGAGTTATTACAGGAACAGAAGGTAAGGGGAACTTTTTAAATAGGGATACCTGTGATGGTGACAACTGTCTAACATGGGAGTTCCCCCTCGCTTTGAAGAGTTCTCCTCTTACTTCCTGCTTTGTCTCTGGGACAGGAAGTCAGGTGCAATCACCGTGAAGGAACACAGGCAGCCAAAAAATAAATAAAACCTGAAAAGATACAAGTATCAGGAGTGCTTTAAGAGTACCAGTAGTTCAAAAGATAAATAAATACTAAATCTGCACTCCTAACTTATACCCTAACTAAAGCTGCTGTGTAGGTGAAGCCATTTTTTTTTTGCTGCATTTTTTTTTGCTGCATTTTTTTGCTTCCTGCCCCAATTGGGGCAGGAAGTGATTTTTTCCAATTTTTCCCAACTCTATAAAAAAAAAAAATGTCCGGAGTTACATTTTAAGATGATTATTCTTGTTAAATACAGTTTCCTATGTACACAGTACACAGACTGTTTGCTTGGTAAACTATTACTTTTTAATATTTTACTACATGACTTGTTTTCTAAATTTGACTTTTAACCTTTTTTTTTTCTTCATTTGCTTTTTGTAGCACTTCTTGATCCTGATTTTGTTGTGGGAGGATGATGAATTCTACAGGGTCATATCCGACTCCGGATTTCACTCTGCAAGAGGACCTGACCAGCTCTGCCACCAACAGTGTACCCATTACGGCAATGAAAGATGACTATGATGAGCGACTGAGATACACTCTTCGTATCATTTACATAATTGGCCACTTGTTGGCTTTTCTGCTTGGGACTGTAGGAAATGGGCTGGTCATCTATTTCACTGTATTCAAGATGAAGAGGACTGTCAACGTGGTGTGGTTTCTCAATTTAGCCATAGCCGACTTCATCTTTATGTTTGTGCTCATATTCAGAATTGTCACGGTAGCCCAAAATTTTCACTGGATGTTTGGCGGATTCATGTGCAGGATGAACAGTGCTATTTTCTTCATCAATCTGTATGCCAGTATTTTCCTAATCACCGCTATCAGCATTGACCGCTGTATTTCTGTAATATACCCAGTTTGGTGCCAAAATCATCGAACTCCGAGACTGGCGTCCATTGTGGCCCTGGTCATTTGGATCCTATCAATCATTTTCAGTGTACCTTATTGCATATTCTTAGACACAAAGGTGGTCAAAGGTGGGAAAATAATCTGCACTCACAACATCAATGACAGAAATACAGAGATGTTAATAGAAAAGAGTCTAGCCATTTCAAGATTTATCTTCAGCTTTGTCATCCCTTTAGCCGTGATCATCTCTTGTTATGCAATCATACTGATGCGTGTCCGAAGAAATCGCCTGACCACATCTAGAAAGCCCTTCAAAATCGTCGTAGCTGTGATCATTGCATTCTTTGTCTGCTGGTTTCCCCTCCACTTATTCTTCTTTCTGGATATGGCTCTAGATTATGGTGGCAAAAGTCATCTGAAGTATGTTGTAATGATCGCAATACCACTCAGTAAAAATTTGGCCGTTATAAATAGCTGTATCAATCCTATTCTGTATGTATTCGTTGGTCGAGATTTCAAAGAAAAGTTCTGGAGATCCTTTGGGTCAATATTTGAGAGCGCTTTCATGGAGGAACCTATCCAAATAAACTCCAGGAGTAAGTCAAGGTCAACTGCAGATTCTCAGCTGTTGTAAATTGAAATGACACTTACAGGAGAAGATATATAACCACAAGCTTTTAAAAAAAAAAATCTATTATCATGGGACTTATCAGCAGATGTAAGCAATTTTTTAGAGTAGGCTGAAACAATTGGTTACAATCTCCATGCATGCTTGCATGGCATGGACACAGTCAAGGGGCTAGGAGGCAATTGTCTAACAGGTACAAAAAGAGCAATCTCATATTTATATAGCATTTTGTGGGCTAAACTTACATATTGTATATTGCAATTCATGATTTGCCACTCCATGTAGCTGAGAACTTAAAGTGACATTAAACCCTCAGATTTTTTAACATAAAACAATACTGTAATGTGTGCCTTACTGTAATGCATGGTTGTTTCCCTTCTCTGTGCTGCTCTTCCTTTTAAATCTGTATCTGTTCTCATGCTGGGCAGAACTTCTGTTTTGCAGCAGACTGCTTTGTCTCTGAAATGGATACATGGGGTTGATTTACTAACCTTATAAACACACCACAAACATGTATACACCTCTGTAGTGTGTTCCCTCCCAGCATGATCACAGGGTGGAATCTAAACACCTTTGTAGTGTGTACACACCCAGCAGGTGTGTTGTGCAAAGCCCTGCATGAATTTGCAAGGTGATGTTGTGTAAATTAGCTCTATGTTGTGTTGCTTGCGTTGATGAATGCAGGAATGTAAATGCATGAGCTAACCATTTTTCTCTAAACTGTGAAGCAGTATTATATATGCATCATGTGCATGATTTTTCCATATATGGCATTAGTGGAAATATGCTTTTAGAGACTTTTTGGTTGATAAATACGTTTTGCTGTGTAAAAATCACACGCACCTAGTGCATGCGTGTGTTTAGGTTAGTAAATCACCCCCATGGTGTCTGTGTGTAGGTTTGCAACCTGAGCCAGCACTACAGGAAGAGGCACTAAGCTGCAAAGGGAAGTTCTCCCCCAGCATGAGAAGACATGAGGATTTAAAAGGAAGAGCAGCAAAGAGAAGGGAAACTACCATGGATTACAGTAAGGCACACATAACAGTATTGGTTTATGTTAAAATATCTGAGGGTGTAATGTCACTTTAAGGGTTCTATACTGTGTATACTGTCATGCAATACAAGGTATTAATATGAAACCTTCCTAAAAATTAAATCACACTTACAAAAGAACATATAATACTATATTCATTGTACCAATGTTGGCATTTTATTGTATAATATATGTTTATATATGTTTTCTATAAAAAAAAAATTCCAAGCTTTGGAGAAAAAAGAGAAATGAAGGAAAATACAGAAGGCCGATATATACTGACTCATAATTAGAGGTATTTGTAGTAAAGTGTTGAGTTGTATTGATATCAGTTACAGTATTTGAAGCCTTGAACTTCTGTTAGAGCATGTGGAGAATATATTTGTCTCCACACAGTGTTGTTCTTTCTAGGCAGTGGGGAGAAGATCTTCTTGGGTATCCTAATTAAATGATCCCGGCCATATATAAGCTCTTTATGTGACAAGAAAATCCTGTCTTATGTTGAAATGTGTGTGGGTGTGCTGAGGAGTTCCAAAGTTGAATGAGGAGACATTTTCTGTTTCAATATATTTATCAAGAGTTTTAAAAAAAATACAAAAAGTACAGTAAAAGTAAATTAAAGGTTTGATCTACAAACCATAAAAGATAAAGAAAACACAAGTAAACATATCAAGGCTATGGCAGGAAACATAATAAATAAAATGTATATATTAATTATGAATAATGAATATAAGAGAACTCAAATAACAATTGTAAGGTTTTCATAAGTCCCAAATCTACATTTCTTCGATGAGGGACTACATTGTAAAAGACCACACCATACAAAAAGAAAGGACAAAAGACAGTAGAAGAAAAAGTGGAGAAACCAGAAAGAGAAAAGAAGGGGGCACATTCAGCATGTCCTCTGATGAAGATACAAGAAGGTCAGGGAAGCAAAACCCAGCTGCCCAGCAGAAACATTCCCCCATTTCCTAGAGGAAACTAAGGCAGTTTGGGCCCATCTTCAGATAAACAAGAGAAGATAGTATCCACGGTTCCCAGATACGCTGAAATTTACTATGCCTATCTTCCGGGATACTTGTCAATCTTTCATTTAGCATGATATTGTCCACTCTACCAATGAATTCCTTACACAGAATTAGCTGTTTCTTTCAATTTCTAGCTGTAGCTCATTTCAGAATCCAGCCAGAAATTTGTGATGAGATGGATATGTGGACGGATATGTGTCCCATTCATATGCAAAAGTGCCAGCCAGGGATCCTTAACCAAGTGTATCTGGAAAAGGGCCCTCAGCAACTGATATACCCTATTCCAAAACATAGCAAGAAAGGAACATGTCCACCATATGTGGAGCATATAACCCGGTGTGTCACATCCCCTAAAGTATCTATTGGAAAATGTAGAGTTCAAATGGGCTGTACGTGTGGGAACCATGTGCCATCTAATAACAACTTTATACGCAACCTAGTATTCGTAACATTTTTAGAACAGATGGCCATATTCCTCCAAATTTGTTTCCAATCTTCTCCAGCCCGAGATTGCAACAGGTCAGTCACCCACTTATTAACATATGTATGCGCGGAAATGCCTGACAGATTATTTAGCTTGGAAATATTTATATATAGACATCTATATCTGTATATATATATAGGAATATAATATACCGCCGGGGTACGCTAACAAACATGTTTGAAGCAGGTAATTGGCTTCTTAAGGTCTCTCCGCCTAATCAGAGAAGAAATCCAGTGGTGGATTTGGATATATCTCTACAACTCAGATTCCAGGGGGCGTTTATGCTCCCTCATATATTCCCAAGGAAATACGATGGAGGAGCGCAGAAAGTCATATACTCTATGAAAAATTAGACGTTTTATTTACCACAATGTATTGTTAATAATAAGATTTATTTGTATTTTGATGTGCTTATGAGCCAGTAAAGGTTTTTATTTTCTTACATTTGCAGTATTGTTTGATGCATTTTTGCATTTGGGTATAAGTTATGCATAATAATATTAATATAGATATATTGTGGGTCTATAGTAATATTCTGAATTGTGGTGCAGATTATGTTAGCTAGATGCCTGCCTATGAATACAATGTACAAACACACCTGATATCTCTGGGCCACACTATAGGAACACAACACAATTTAAAATGATCCATTGGATTCTTCTTGCCACCCCATCTAACACTACCCAGGCATAGAGGTTTGTAAAATTGAAAAAAAAGGAGGAGCACAGTCCCCATCAATGCCCTATTCAAATAATATCCCACTGGTCTAGACTTATCAGCCTTCCCTAAGAACTTATTTTTCCAAATGCTTGCTTTCAGAATAGGCTTTACTCTTGTGTTACTGATTTTCCTGTATGGCAAATACTGTCATTTGAAAACCACATCTAAGCAAAATACACAACTAAGCACAAGGAAAATTGTAGTTGTACAGCAACCACATCTAAGGACCGGAAAGCTGCAATATATAAAATATTTGTTCTGGGGATTAGAAATAATTTAAACAACACCTTCATTGATTTTTTTTTTAGCTTCTTCCTCAGGTATGGTATGAAGATGCAAAAACCTAGATAGAAGAATGCTAAAACCAACACAAACCAAAGAATTGAAACTGTGAGATAAATACAAATGTGTTTTTGCATGAAACATAATGATATTTAAATAAGTAAATACATAAATAAGTAAATAAATAAAAAATACATTCAAATAAAGGTCTCAAATATCTTCTGGGGGCTTACATTCACACTAAAACTGCGTGCACCCCAAAGCTGCCCAAAGCTGTAACCCATTACATATAAAGTTTCTAGAGAGCTTTTCTCTGCCCGCCTTACTTTCTAGAGGAGGTATTTGTAGAAAGCTCATTCCTCAGATTAGTGTACAAATACATCCGGCTTTGTAAATGTGTGCTACGCCCCCCTTCCCCCTCTTCATTGCCGGCTGGGAGCCAAACCCAGCCAGATAATGGATGTGATTTGGCTACAAGATCTGTGCACCCCTTGTGTAGGGATGAGCCGAATACACCCTTGTTTGGTTCGTATTCGAACATTCGAACCGCTGAAATGTTCGAGTACAAACTCGAACTCAATGCAAGTGTATGGGGGGTCGAATGTTCGACCCCCATACAGCTGCCGGTACATGTGGCTGCAGCGGCCTGACTACCCATGTGTAGTCAGCCATAAGTGCAGGAAATTGAAATTTCTGTACACAGAATGCTGCATGTGGTCGTATGGAAGGGAAATGTGACTATTTTTACCAGTTTTAGTAACTGTTAGCTGGCTTAAGATAGAACCAGTTTTGTTGGCAACAGGAAAAGATTGCAGCATATTTAACTGGCTTGTTTCAGCCGCAGTTGCTTGATTAACTTCTAAAGAACTACAATATACTGTAACCAGAGGAGTTAGGAAATGTAATGTTGGCAAAACATCTGTCAACTGTTTGCTGCTATATAGCTGATACTTTGCTACACGACAAAAAGTCCACTTATTTCTCTCTCCGCAGAATAATGGTCGCCACTATGTTAGAATTAAACAACATTGGGACGATTTTTATTTCGTTTTCGCCTCCATTTTTTTCTGTAACTGATGTATCTTTAACAAAGAGCTCACACTCTGGTGGTGCAATCAGTTTCCTGTGTCAGAACTTCCAGTGAATCCGGCCAGTTCATTGGGAGTGGTGATAGGTTTTGCCTGCAAACATTGTGCACTAATTAAATGCATTGAAGTTAAAAACATTTCTTTAAGTGTTGCATTGTTTTGGTTAAGAACCCTTTTCTTCTTTTTTGTCACCTGTGTCCCATTAGGGAGATTCAATTTACTTCCTGTCCTGTAGGCACAAGGGAGAGTGGAAGAAAATGTCTCCAAAGTGGTCAAAATCAATTCTTAGGCAGATGACTAAAATATGTTTCATTGAAAGAATCTCCCCTTTTTTTGTTACAGTGACAAAACAACATTTTGGATCCTTTTTTTTAACTTTTATTCCCTATGACAATAGGCCACTAGAGAGGGCGACACTCCCTTGCAGGTACAGACAGCAATGAAAACCTAGCTGTGCAAGGAGCAAAAGCAGAACATCTTTTAATATCTTATATTGGATGATATTGCTTGATGTTTTAAACTTTCAGCTTCCTGCAGAATTAGATGGTCCTTTGAGAACTGGCTCTGATATTCTGGTTTAGGGGGCTCCTTTCCCTTAAGGGCCCTGTGGAGCCACCCTTGTGTGTGCTAGTAAGCTGTGGGTGTCTCCAAAAACACACAACAGCAAAAAAAAATCCCATCACATTCACACAAACACACAGGCGCAGCAAAGCAAGCTGCTTTCCTCCTCCTTCCTCTCTTCTCCAAGCTACTAGGCGCAGCAGTGTATTTATGTTTCGTGCTGCCCTAGGCAAGACGAAACTCCTGACGAGCCGCCCCAGCAAAGCAAGACGCGACTGGACCCGCCTACTCCTCCTTGCCGTCTCTTCCGTATCTCCGCCTCGCAAGCGCCTGACACAAGCTGGACCCGCCTCCTCCTTCTCCTGCTCGCCGCCTCAGTGAGTTCATGAGGCAACCGATGCTGCTCTATTTCATGCAGCCCGGCTCGTCTTGCTGTTTTGGGGGTGGCATTTTCGCCGCCCCCCTGAAATCTGCCGCCCGAGGCAAACGCATTGTTTGCCTCGCGGCAAATACGCCCCTGAGTAGGCGGATAGTTGCTGGAGGCTTCTCTGTCCATTGTGATCTTGTATTGGACAGGAAGTTCAGGTGCTGTCCCATGTGATCTTGTATTGGACAGGAAGTTCAGACGCTGTCCCTTGTGAACTTGTACTGGACAGGAAGTTCAGGAAAGGCGAGCTGAGAGAGTTGGAGCTGTTTGCAAACATGTCTGTGAGTGCTCGGTCAAAGATGTATCAAAAATACTTTGCCAGGTGATGTAGATTTATTCTGGATCCATTATTAAAAACTGTTTGAGAGTTTAAAACGACTTTAACTCTAGTTAACCCTCTATTAACAGGTCTCATCCCCTAAGGAAAAGTGAGAGCAGAACCAGCCGGCTGATTAACACATTCTTCTGTCTCCTACTGTCAGTATTTTACTTGCACTACAGTAGACCTGAATGGCTCATTGTGCTGCTTCTCCCTCCCTTTCTCTGAGCTCTGCTGCAGAGAGGATCACAAGAGGCTGATACCAGGTCAGGGACTTATACTGCCATAGGCATGCGCAGGTGGTGTGCCGGGTGTGCCTGGGCACATCCTTATCACCACAAGCGCAACACCGAAACTTCAACAGTGGGTGCTGTGTTTTTAGTCACTGAGTTATTGGAGAGATCACAAAAATCTCTCTGCAACCAGCCCAGTGATAAAGAGAGCAGCAGCACTTGCCTCTTACATTCCTTGTATAACAGCCGCAGTCCTCTGTGCCTGGGTAGCTGCAAGTGAGCGTAGCCGTGGCTTCCCAGGTTTCCCGTTCAATCAGGAAGTCGGACGGGTCACATGACCACCTGCTAAGCTCCCTGCTTCATTACTGCACCCCTGCTGGGAGAGGTAAGGGACAGTTGAAGAAATGGGAATCCAGAATGCTTCAAGTCTGTGTGTGTATGTATGTTGAACAAAATGAAAACGTAAAGTCATACAGACTACCGCTACCGAATTTCGCCCGAATCCTGAAACAAATTGGCTTTCGGACCTGCATCCCGAAAAACAAAATAACGCAAAATTCGAATCAAAATGAAACAAAACAATTTTTTTGCCGGTGTCTAATACCAGGTACACTACTTGTATCTAAAAATGCATTTAATGTCATGCTATTGAATACAGAGCTGTATTAAGTTGCGTCTTTCTTACTTACTGGAGTTCAGCTTGAATCAAGCAAAGAAAGAAAGAAGATGTTGTGTAATCGATGTAATCTTCACCAAGTTACTCAGAAAAATACACATAGTGAGGTCATCCCTCAGTATATATATACAGGTGTCTCAGCAACATCATCGACCTGAGTTTCACACACCTTAGATCAAAACACATCAAGAGAGCAAATTCAAGTAAGTAACGTATTTATAAACAGACATTTTATATACACATATGCACACTCCCACTCATGCATTGACGCATGTGCACTCACATTTGTAGCTGTTTTACCTACCAAATGATTTGTATTTCTGTCCATCCTTTTCTCAGATCCACACAGATTTGTCTATCAGGGCAGGAGACCTGTTTCTTCTCTGTGCAGTTCAGTAACCCTTACAGCAGCAGACTGATGAGCTGATCGTTGTGTCACTATGCTCTCTCCTACTATCCCTGGTTAGCACAGGAGCACCAGATTGGCTCCTTGTGTTGCTTTTCTCTCCCCCAGTCTGTGCACTGCTGTACAGAAACTGCAAGAGGCCGATAACAAGACAAATTCTTGTACTTAAACCGCTTGCGTTTGAAAATACATGTCATGATTTATCTTCCTGGAGTTCAGCTGGCAGAAACAAAAATGCGATCTACATCTTAATGTGGCCATGATTATTGAGTGATTGCCTTTCCTTGTGGGTGTCTGTAGTGGGGGAGTTGGAAGGGACAGCATAGCTACATTATTTAAAAGAAAAGGGTAAACAATTAAAATTTCCGTATAAACTATAAAAGATTTGTGCACTTTTTTATTTTGTTTTTTAGTCTCTCACTGAAAAATCTTCTTTAAAGTGACACTAAACTCAGGGTTTAAACCTTAAAAATACATTCAAGTATCTTATTTGTGTATCACTCGGTTGCAAATCCTCCAATCATCTCTAAATCGGTGCTGACACTGTCCTTCCTTCTGGAGGGGGGCTACCTTTGTTCCCCATGGTCCCTATGTGTGTTGTAAAGTAGTCACCGCTGGCTCCTGTGATGGACTACAATCTCATGCTTAGTTTACCAATTTGTATGGAGATTGTAGTCCATTATGAGTAGTGAACTTGGAGCGGTGACTACTAGACATGTAAGCTGTGGAAAAATTTGGTTTGGATAATTTGTTATTTCTGGATTCGGATACGAAATTAAATTCGGTTTGGGTTTCAAAATCCAAATTGTGGTTAGTTGCAGATGAGTTTACGAATATTCGTTGCGCATACCAAAGAATACCATATACAGATATTAATACTAAAGCTGAATCTCCTAGACCCAAATGGCATTCGGGATCCGAATTTCCGAATTGCAATAGGGAGCTCCCGAATGCCATTCGGGTCTAGGAGCCTCAGTTTTTGTATGATCTGTATATACTGTATATATCTCCCATGTTTCCGTAACGAAAATTCGTGTTCAGACCCATTCGGATGCATTAAACCGAAAAACACATCTGATTAACCAGAAAAGTCACATGTCCGATTCAGTTAAGTTTTTGAACGAAATTCGGACGGGATCCAAAATTCAGAAATGGAAATTCGGATTCGGACACATTCAGATACATTGGGATTGGGAAATTCAGATGTGTGGTACAAATTTTGATTCGGAACGAAACGAATCGCACATGTCTAATGACTACTCTACAATACAAACAGGGACCATGGGGAACAAAAGTAGCCCCCCTCCAGAAGGAAGGACAATGTCAGCACCAATTCAGAGATAGTTTGAGGATCTACAGCCAAGTGATACACACATAAGATACATTTTTGTTAATAGATAAGGTACTTGGATGCATTTTTAAGATTCATTTCCTGAGTTTTGTGTCACTTTAAGATCTCAAGATGTTTTTGCATTGTATGTTAATAAAGGGAAACTCAGTCAGTCCCCACTTTGTTCATTGCTGAGGAGGTGAACCTTTAAGCTTGCCTTGTGACATGAACATATTTTCCATTTTCAATATGAGATATTGATTTCTGAATATTCACGGTTGGTCTCCAATATCTGGTTGGAGACTGAATGTGAGGCCTCCCTTGCACCTCGTGTCCCGAGCACTCTGGAGTTGGGGACACAGTCGAAGCAGACAGCGAGTGGCACGGGTGCCAGTGGTGACAACACGGTGCAAGCTGGAGTCCAGATGCTGGTAGCAGAGCAGGGCAAGATCTGTAATCAAGGTCAAACGAGCCAAGGTCACATTAATCGGGCAGGCAAAGTACAGAGGGATGAGGCAGAGACAAAGTCCAGTAAAGAATCCAAGGTCAAGGGCAGGCAGCAAACAAGAATGGTCAAATAGCAAATCTGGGTCAGAAGTCTGGCAATACAAAGCAAGGGACACAGGGGAGCTGAAAGACAATCCTGCAACTTGGAGACAGGCAGGTTGAGCTTAAATAGAGAGATCCATTAGCCCATTGTGTCACTTCCTGTGTGCCGTTTGTCACCTTTTTTCACGGCCAGAACCGTGGCGCGTAAGTGCCGATTTTCCGAAGGCATGGAAAGCGGAAATTTATCTAGCTTATTCTTCCTCGGTTCCATATTCACCAAAATATTGACTTTATAGTGAATGTAGCAAGTCGAGCGTAACAAACTTTAGCAGAAGAAAACAATTTTTCAGAGCTTGTGTGCTCAACATTTTGAATGCCATCTTTTTTTAATGTCTCTCTAATACCTTTTGATTTTGATGTCCCAGAACTACAGAGTCATTGTCATTTACGTCAAGGGAAGAGGCAAGGTGAAAATCATATTAGTAAGCTTTGACATTTTTTTTTTACAAATAGATTAAATATTCCAATGCATTTTGCTCATCTGTGTTTACAGAATTTCTCTTCTGGTCCATATTCTATCTTGGAATAATGAAGAATTTATCCATGACATCTCCAGTTCTGAACATTGCTCAACAAGGAGAGAATGTGACTGCTTATACCACTGACAACATATCAAACACAGACTATGACTATGACAAGGATGAAACACAACTAGACAGTCTTCAAGTATTCTCCCTGGTGGTCCACTATGTGGTCTTTCTGCTGGGGACTACTGGTAACGGACTGGTCATCTTTTTCACCACCTTCAAGATAAAAAGAACTGTTAACATTGTGTGGATTCTTAATTTAGCCATAGCTGACTTTACCTTCTCGTTTTTCCTGTTGTTCACAATTGTCTCTTCCACCTTAAATTACCACTGGCCCTTTGGTAGAGTCATGTGCAGGATTCACAGTGGCGTTTTCCACCTTAATATGTATACTAGCCTTTTTCTGATCACTGTAATGGGCGTTGATCGATGCATTACCGTTGTGTTCCCTGTTTGGACCCATAATCACCGAACTCCTAGACTTGCATCCATTGTAGCAGTGGTAGTTTGGATTCTAGCATTCATCTCCAGTTTGTTCTTTTTTATGTTCAGAGATATAGTAGAAGACGATGGCTTTATTTATTGCATTTACCATTATGGCAATAACTTAGATTGGGAATCAGGACACCAAGTCAGCATCATATTAAACTTCATCATTGGTTTCCTTATTCCTTTCACTATCATTTTTTCATGTTATACAATAATTCTTTTGCATATCCGGAGAAATCACCTGATCACAGTAAGCAAACCATTCAAAGTTGCTGCAGCTATAATAAGTGCATTCTTTATCTGCTGGTTTCCTTTTCATGTTATTTCCTTTGTGCAGTTGTTTCATAATTATGATTTTTTTTATGTTGACATAGCATATATGTGTGCCTTCAATTTGATTTTAACAAACAGCTGCATTAATCCTGTTCTCTATTTCTTTATTGGTAGAGATTTCAAAGAAATATGTCAACACTCTATTTGGTCAATATTTGAGAAAGCTTTCATAGAGTAGGCCATCAAGTTTCTTTATGAGTGAGACCGGGTCACTTTTGGATTCTTAGAATGTGTGAACTGAAATCTCATTTATGAAAGAGTAAATATTGCCATCACCTACTCAGACTCAAATTTTCAACCTGTGCATACTATATACATGTTTAATAGGCTTTTTTGGGGGGATAGCTCATATAGTTATACATCATTGCTTAACTGGCATTCTCAAGGCCTGCTTATCTCTAGTAACATATGTTATGAAAGAGGGTAGGCTGAAGAGGTGGCTGCCTCTTCAGTGGGAGGATGGGCCAAAAAGGGCAGGACCTGCAACCTATACTTCAGAGGTACTTATGCCTTTTCAAAACATTTAATAAACCACCTTCGCCACTTCTATGTGTGTGGCCTTGTTCACACCGAAAGCGTGTGCATTCCAGAGCGGTAGCTGCTGGAACGCACCGTGTGTAACAACCAGACCCCACAGGTCTTATTTTAGGTGGAGGATCACAGCTGCAGAAGTATGAGGAGGGGGTGCAATCCTACACCACAGTGAATTTACAGTCTTATGGTAATGAGTTAGGCAACAATTACTTAGCATGAAAAATAGATGAGATTTTATTGTAGGGAGTAGTCCTTTTAGATTAGTGGGGTGAAGGATGACAACAATCAATGGGAGCAATCAAGTTATCCCTATGCACAGTTCTATCAATATGCAAGCATTTGGAAATCACAGTCTGTGGTATGCTTACTGCTATTTTAGTTGATGGGAATGATAAGGAGAATGTTGGTGCCCTCCGGTGGATCTTTAGAGTAACTGCAGTCCAGATTGTAATAGTCCTTGCTGAAGCTGGGGATGAAGGAGGTAGTGGAGACCGAATTGCAGAGCTGGAGGGAAGTCAAAGCAGGATGTGCTGGTGGTTTTGGAGGGGCTCTGTCCGGCCCAATAAGAGGAAGAGGTTCGGTGCTGGGATACAGGAACTTGCCTGGCGTCTTCACACTTGCTCGAACGTCAGGCAAGTGTAACGTTCAGCCTTAACTAGGGAGTGGGGGAGGAGTCCTGGAACGAGGAACAGGTGAGTGATCGAGTGCACCTGTTACACCGTGATCGCTTCGAAACTTCTCCCCGCGTTTTGGGGCGGGATGGGGCGTGGCAGTGCATTGAATTCAATGGCACCACTTGCACACACCCCCCTCGCCCGCAGTGCGATCGAACACGTGGCAAGACTTTGCCAGCGTTGCGTTCCACTGCAAATGGAAAAATAGGGGGGGGGGGCGGGGCGTGGAAGCGGTGCCATTGAATTCAATGCACTGCCATGCCCCCTCCCGTCCCAAAACGCGGGAGAAGTTTCTTAGCTACCGCTCCGGAACACACATGCTTTCGGTGTGAACAAGCCCAAGTGTTTGTACAAGCCAAGTTCTCTGTCTGTTTAGAGATTCATATAAAGTAGCTAGTCAACAATCAGCTGACTGATTGCAGCTATTGGGACCTAGTTCTCACCAGGGGTATCTTGTTAAGAGCTGGAAATGCTCTTGCTGCTCTTGTCTGGACACCACTGATAATGATGGACAGTAGGTGTGAGGACGGAAGAGGGGCATGAGTGCTTGGTTGAAGTTGATGACATCCCAAGCAGGAGATGCAGATGGCTGGACCTGGAGGATGATGGAGAAGTCACCTCTGAGGGGTGATGCCAGCAGTAGATGAATAGGTTTTGATGCTGCAGGAGAATCATAGTGAGGAAAAAGCTGGGTTAAGATCAGGCAGACAGTGAAGTGCAGAATCAACAGCCAGAGGCAGGGTCAGGAACAAGCCATGTCAGTAATGTGCAGGCAAGGCATACCAAATCAGTATGCAAAGTTATGGTTCAATAACAAGCTGATGTCAGGAGGCAGGCAGCAATCAGCAGAGTCAAGGCACCGGTTGGTTCGGTATCAGGAATAACAGGATCAGAAACACAGGAAGCAGAGAGCTAGCTGAAGAACTCTCAGCAAAGGACAGGTGCAGAGCTCCTCCTTAAATAGGCCGTCTGGCGTCAATGTTGAAAATAGGCACACGGGCATGCGCGTTGTGTAGTGTGCGTACATCTGCACGCAGGCTCACAAGTATGTTGGATCATTTTACAGAGACAGAGCACAGACATTCTCATATGTGCACATAGTTGTGCAGAACAAGAACGGGCAGTATTTCCCTGACTAGTGTACCTAAGTGGAGATACTGCACCAAGATACATTGAAGCAAGACCCATAGTCAAGTCATGAATGAAATCCCACAAATATGTTTTTGTGAACAGTACAGGTCCCTTTTAAGATTAGTTTTCTTATAACTATCAAAGAGAATGGCCGGTGGTATATACAACTCTCCATATCTTTAAAACCATCAAACATAACATATACATCAAACATAACAATCTGTTGCTTCTGATGAGGAGGTGTACCTCTGACTTTACTTGTGGCATGAACAGCTTTTGAACTCTTTTTGTTGTCCTTTTCCTGAAAGCTGAACTCTACAGCAGAGGTCGGAGAGAAGGAGAGAGAAGGAGCCAGTCAGGTGCATGCTGATGAGAGGAAATAACAGGGTGGCAGAGAGAAGAGCTTATCAGCAAGTTGATTCTACTTTCACTATCCAGTAATGGAAGGAGGGATACCTTTTTGTTAAGTGAAACTGTAGAAAAGATCAGGTACCCTTCCCTACTAAACAAGGATGTACTGTGAGGATGAGACAGTGTGTGGACAGGAGTTCAGCCATTTTAAATGAATGTGTCCTCTAGTTGTCTTCCATTCCACGTGGGGCTGCATTCTACACTCCTCTTGTTTCAAGGTAATTTCTAATAGTAGAACTTGCTGCAGAAGAACTTGCTATTCAATGTAAAAATAAGTTAATGTATCTGCGTCTACAGCTAAAACCATGTGTCACAAGACCACGTAGACACCAAGATGTGGGTGTACAGCCAATTGCTCTGTAAATATTCAATAATTGTTATTTTGTCCTTTTTGTCCTTACTTCTGCATTTCTTATGTATATAGGCTTTGCCTTTTAATTCATTAAACAGAACTGGTTGTTCAATGTCACACCGGTGCCTATGTGAAGTCAGTTCTTTGCTATAGCAAATACTCTTTTGAATATAGATTGGGCTCAAATGATCAACTCTCAATGGCGAACCCCAAATTTCAAAGACAGGGTAGAGCTGTGTAAATCTCAGTATGAGAGTATCTGAGTATCCAGCTCTCATGCTTTATACTCCCTTACAGCTTGCTATTCAACTATACTGCTCTACCAGCAGTGAGCTGGTACAGAGAATAAATGTAAGCATTCAGTTTTCACTTGCCCCGCTATTATGAAGTGGACTGGATACATGAATATTGAATGTTTAACCACCTTCACACTGACCCCAGGGGTGGGTGAGGGGTACTGGCCAAAACATTGTTAGCCCAATAACTAGTCTATTGGTTTTGACAATTCCACCCACCTGCCCACCTCCCATTTAGAAATGACATACACATTGGTACCACCATGATGAGACCCTTAGACTCGCAGCACCCCCAGCTATTGACACACCAGTCCATATGTTATATGAGTCAAGTTGGTATCTTTGGAGAAGGAGGAGGAAGAGAAAAAAAAACAGTATTCACTCATGCTATTTGTCTTTACATTCATATGTAAGTATACTATTATATCAATTCAAGATTCTTGGTCCTGCCTGGCTGTTAGACCGGTGCCCACAACATCTCCCTCCCTCTGCTCTGGCTGTGGAAAGATCCTTGGCGAGTCAATGGACTTGCATTGGATGTGAGGATGTCAGCAGGGCTTACACCACGTGAAGATGTTAGCAGGGTTTAGACCACCAGAGCAGAGGGGAAGAGATGCTGCAGGGATCATTTTAGCAGCCAGAAGTCCATAAACCCATCGCAATCCTGAGCGCTTAATCCTAGTATGAACGGGTGGGTGTAGCGGTGGTCGACGGATGGCACCACCACTTGCACAAGACATGAATGGAACGCCGGCACTCCGATTACAGATATGATGCGTCTCTATTGAGGTGTAAGTAGATGGAGAGACCCTCCGCACTCCTCACAGCAGTCCCGGCCAGATAAGAAAAAAGTGGTGCTCGCAGTGATGAATTACCACGGATGGCGCCGTGCAAACACAGGAAAGTCAGGAAATCACCAGCACTTAGTAGTAAAGATAAATATGTGCCTTTTATTGGACAGAAAGCGTCACAGACATCCAAATAAACCGACGTTTTCGGGGCCACACAGGGTCCCTTCCTCAAGGCAGAAAGATGTGACAATATGGTAACAATCAAACACCACATATATACCCCATGTAGTTAATTGATGATTGAAAAACACACCCTCAGTGATGTCATAGAGGCGGCAAATAAGCCATATTTAAAGGTCAAAAGAGTAAAAAAACAAACAAACAGAGTACAAATTAAATAAATAAATAGAAAATCATACCAGCAATCAGAGGTATTGAGGTGGACGTCAATAAAGATGCATCATATCTGTAATTGGAGTGCCGGTCCCTATGCATTGTACAAAGCAATTGATTGGTGGTATTTAGTTCAATGGTGTAATACATTATTGTTTTTCATTGTATATTGTTGGGTATCTATTCAAATACTGGTTTTTGTTGTATATCATATAGTATGTAGTTTGGATGATCATCATGATAGGAGATAGTAAGTATAAATGATGGTTTTTATATGTACAGTTAATAAAGAGTATCTTTTAGTGCCATTTACACCCATCCCAAAGACGTAGCTATTTTTATAGCCATGAAACACATCAGTAGTGTTTTTTAAACCTTTCTGTGACCAATATAATATCTACTTTTGGAAGGATCACTTCTTCAAGGATTTTGTTTTCCACATGGGCGCCTCTGCTGATCTCACTCTCCTGTTTTTTTTTGGAGCAAAAAAAACATCCAACATCTGCAGAATGTGTTGTGCCTCTTAGCACTGCAGATCATCTACTTCCTAAAACACAGCACCATCTAGTGCAAATAGAAGAACATTTACATGTGAA